ATTATACAGGCGGGGTGCCCCACCCCGTCAACAAAACTGAGCACCCCACCTACCAAACTGTACTTACCTCTCCCACCCCCACCAGGCACTGACATATCACTAAGCTAGCGGCACAAAATACAGGCTCTCTAGCTAAAAAGCCAAAGACAGCACTCGCATTGCCTCTTCCCTCATGATGAACGCCCCCCGCCCTCACTCAAAAACTGTTAGTACAAGCTGCGGTCAGACATGTCTCCGTCCCCCCCATCAGCAAAAATCATGGCTGAGATGAGCACCCCTGCAAGCTAACTAGGGGAAACACTGCACATTGGTATTGTTTAACATTTGATTCCTGAGCGCCCCCTAGATTAGTCTAAATGTTATACCTTTGTGATATATCATCCAATCTGCAACAAATTTTTGGTACGTCATTAGTGAGCACTTCTAGACACATTGTTATTCTTGTTTAACGTTTGACACCAGTGCGCCCCCTACATTATTCCAACAGTTATATCTCAGTGATGCATCATCCGATCGGAACCAGATTTTTTGTGCCTAATCAGTGAACACCTCTACTTTGATATTGTGGTTTAACATATGACTCAAATGCTCTCCCTAATACTGATATGGGCAGAAGGCGATTGCAAAGTTTAAGCATATGCGCACCCTGGTGGCCGCGTGCGGGAATGGCATGAGAGCGTTCGCGACTGGGAGGCATTGATGGAGCGGTCGCGGGTGATGTTGAAGTTCCGACGAATGCGCACCCCAGTGAACGGGCGCGGGACGAGAGCGATAGCGTTCGCAATGGTGACTGGGCAGAGTCGCTGGAGCTCCCGCGGTCGCTGTAAGGCCAGAGCGCCGTTTTGCTGCGAGGGCCTTCAATGCTGCTTGCAGCTTTAATGTAATTTATAACTTTAGTAGAGATAGCAGACATGATGTTAAAACAGGAAATTATTATTTTTTAATTCCTTCAAAGTTGAATGTTTTCTGCTGGATGGAAGTAGCCTTCATGTGTCACTCTGTGCTGTTCATGTGCTGTTCTGGTAATGAACCAATCATGTTCAAATCATTACCGCTGCAAAGGTGGGAGACCTGCCTTGAATGTACCTCATGTACTTGATGCGACTTTGGAAGACGTGCAAGAACCCTGAGCTTTCACAAAAAAAGTTTAATCGTGTCATCTGGACAGTTTCTTTTTTTGTTTGAAACGTTTCATCAGAAGGACTTCATCAGTCTGAGGCCTACCAACAGGATCTGTTGTATTAAGTAGCACCTTGTTGACGAGTTTCAAACCATTCAGCTGTGGAGTTCCCAGCATGGCTTTACTCATGGCTCTGCAGGGAAAACCTTGGATGTTCTCCGTCTGCTGGACCCGGTTCTGGAGGGCAGTCTGGGAGGGCAGCTGCTGCGGTTGTTATTATCATCAAGCTGCTAGCTGGGCCTGCTAACTCTGCTAACAAGATCCTTGTTTTTAGTATTTTAATAATATTTTTTAATGTTTTGTAGTATTTTAGTAGTATTGTTAATGTTTTTTAGTAGTATTTTTAAATATTTTTTAGTATTATAATAGTTTTTTTTAAATGTTTTTTAGTACACTGCCTGGCTCCCCAAAAAAGTTGCCACCTGGATTTAACTAAGTAAATAGGTACGAGCGTCCTATTGGATAATTACTGCACGGGTGACTATCTTTCAGCTGCAACAAGTTATTTAACCTCAACTGGTGCAATGAGTTGCTTCTCAATTCTTAAACAACCATGTCAAAGACACATCGCGTGGTCATGGAAAAGATGCCAGTCTGTTTGAGAAGGGTCAAATCACTGGTATCAAGCAGAGAAAACATCTAAGGAGGTTACAGAAACTACTAAAATTGGGTTAAGAACTGTCCAACGCATTATTAAAAACTGGAAGGATAGTGGGGACCCATTGTCTCTGAGGAAGAAATGTGGCCAGAAAAAAATCCTGAATGATGGTGATCTGCGATCACTTAAACATTTGGTGAAATCAAATGGAAGAAAAACAACAGTAGCACTCAGGACTATGTTTAATTGTGAAAGTAAGAGCATTTCCACACGCACGATGTGAAGGGAACTCGAGGGATTGGGAATGAACAGCTGTGTAGTCTTAAGAAAACCACTAATCAGTGAGGCTAACTGGGGAAAAAGGCTTCAATTTGCTAGGGAGCATAAAGATTGGACTCTGGAGCAATGGAAGAAGGTCATGTGGTCTGAGTCCAGATTGACCCTGTTCCAGAGTGATGGGAGCATCAGGCTAAGAAGAGAGGCAGGTGAAGTGATGCACCCATCACGCCTAGTGTCTACTGTACAAGCTTGTGGGGGCAGTCTATAATCTGGGGTTGCTGCAGTTGGTCAGGTCTAGTTTCAGCAACAGTATGTGTGGGGCGGCTGTGGCTGAGTGGTTAGAGCAGTTATCCTCCAATGCGAGAGTTGGGGGTTCGAATCCACCAGCAGTCGCATGTCGAAGTGTCCCTGGGCAAGGCACTGAACCCCTCATAGCCTCTGATGTGTGTCCCATCAGTGTCTGAATGTGATGAAGCTCTGATTAGTCTCTTTAGAATGATTTGTTCAATTAGCTTTGTAGAGATCTAGTATAGAGCTGTATGAATGGGTAAATGAGGACACAGATTGTAGTGTAAAGAACTTTGAGTATCTTGAAATAAGATAGAAAGGCGCTATATAAGGACAGTCCATTTACCATTTCAAAGAACGAGATCAGCTGACTACCTAAATGTACTGAATGACCAGGTTATTCCATCAATGGATTTTTTTCTTCCCTGATGGCACGGGCATATTCCAAGATGACAATGCCAGGATTCATCAGGCTTGACTTGCAAAAGAGTGGTTCTGGGAGCATGAGACATCATTTTCACACATGGATTGGCCACCACAGAGTCCAGACCTTAACTCCATTGAGAATCTTTGGGATGTGTTGGAGAAGGTTTGCACAGTGGTCAGAATCTGCCATCGTCAATGCAAGATCTTAGTGAAAAATTAATGCAACACAGGATGAAATAGATCTTGTGACATTGCAGAAGCTTATCAAAACATTGCCACAGTGAATGCATGATGTAATCAAAGCTAAAGGTGGTCCAACGAAATATTAGTGTGTGAACTTTTTTTTTTAGGTGGCAACTTTTTTTGGGGGGGCCAGGCATTGTATTTTAGTAGTATTTTTTTAATGTTTTTTTAGTATTTTAGTAGATTATTTTTTATTTTTAGTATTTTAGTATTTTTTAATGTATTTTTTAGTATTTTACTAACCTGGATAAATAAAGGCTAAATGAAAAAAAAAAAATTTTAATGTATTTTTTTTTTTAGTATTTTACTAGTATTTTTTAATGCTTTTTATTATTTTAATAGTGTTTTTTTTTTAGTATTTTAGTAGTATTTAAAAAAAATGGGTTTTTTTGTATTTTAGTAGTATTTTAGTGGGGGTTTTTTTTAGTATTTGAGTAGTATTTTTTTAAATGTTTTCGTATTTTAGTAGTATTTTTAGAATGTTTTTAGTATTTTTGCTGCATTCCTTGAATTTCTTTTTTTTTTCTTTTTTTTTGTATTTATTTTTATTGCAAGTCGATACGGTTCTTCTCGTCCTCGGCATTTCATTGCATTGTTGACCTTGTGTTGATTTTGCATATGACATATAAACCTAACCTGAACCTGACCACATGCAAAAAGGAGGACCATCAGTCTAAAACAATTGATCATCAGCGTATAACAATCAAATATAGGCAAATTGGCCACTTGCTACTCACTGAACCAGCCCGAGGACAACCTGGCCAAAATTTAATTTAGGTAAATAATTTTTTTTGTGATTTATTTACCTGGATGATTGAGCGTACTTACACTTCACCTTGAACTTTATTTGTTGGATGATTATTTACTGAACAGTTTTGACAGTGTATAAATGTTGCTAAATTTCAAACAACCATTTTTTTAAATAAGTTTTTCTATGCAGGGTCATGGGGAGCTGACGTCTAGTTCAAGTACTGTCTTTAAATCAACATTTAGCAGTTTGTTTTTAATAATTAAAAAATCTAGCCTTTGTTGTGTGGACTGAGGTCGTGTTTTGTTCCTGAGGTAGATGCAGATGATTGCCAGTGATGGAGGACCTCTTACTTGATTTGCAGGCTTCTCATGAGGGACGTTCTTATTTTATTATTGGCCTTTATTTAACCAAGTTAATGTCACTGAGATCACAGATCTTTTTTTAAAGGAGGCCTGGGCCTGAAGGCAGCAAACCAGAGTCCTTGGAGAAACCCCATGCAAAAACGACAGCATGCAAACGCCACACAGAAAGACCTCAGGCTGAACCTGGGTCTTGGACCCAGGACCTTCTTGCTGTGCAGCAGCAGTGCTAACCGTTAATCCACCCTACTGTGTCTCCTGCTTCAGAGTTCACAGCACACTTTGACAAACCATGAGAGAACAGCTTCCTGTTTTGGTTTATCTCTTCAGCTGTTGTCCAGTCCTGGATGAGGACATCTTGGTTGGAACAGCTTGTTGAGTTGTTGTTAGGACAGTGAATCTTCTCATGCGTGTGTCTGCTCTGTAGTAATCTGTTCTTCACAGCTGAAGCACTCAGTCCGTGTTTTGGTAAAAACTCTACATTCAGTCTCAGTCTTTGTTTTTAAACAACATGACAGTAACTCACATCGAAGCTGCAGACGCTGGTAGCTCGCACAAGGCTGTGAATGTGAACGCCACAGCACTTCAAAATAAAAGCACTGAGTCGATGCAGAAGCTTGTGCTTTGTGTGCAGAATGAGTTCTGTTTGAGTTCAGATTTATGTAATGACCTCACTCGTGTCGAAAGGGAACAACTTTTCGGCTGGATGTGGCCTGGGGGGGAGGGGGGTGGTGTCATCTCTGTTTAAAACTTGAGCGAACCTGTCGGTCCTCATTCTAATGGTTTCCTGTTTCCAGTTTGTGGCACCAGCCGGTGCAGCAGTGTTTCTAAAGTGATGACTAATATGAAGGTTCATGTTTGTTTCTTTGTTTGCAGGTATTACAGGGGAACGCACGGGGTCATCGTGGTTTACGACGTCACGAGTGCAGAGTCTTTTGTCAATGTTAAACGATGGTTACATGAAATCAACCAAAACTGTGACGACGTGTGCCGAATATTAGGTGAGTGCTCTTTAAAACGACGCTGCTGTCTCCTGTGTTCTTTGGAAACTCTTTTTCTCCAGCTTGCTCTTTATTTTCTTTCTCCTAGTGGGAAACAAGAATGACGACCCCAACTCTAAGGTGGTTGAGACGACTGACGCGCAGAAGTTTGCAGAGCAGATGGGAATCAGCCTGTTTGAGACGAGTGCCAAGGAGAATATCAACGTTGAAGAGGTAACTTCAGGCCCGGGGCTTCCCTGCAAGAGATCTGTGATTAAATAAAGGGTAATAAACTTGGTACATGTTAAATAAAGTAGCTCAACTGATCAGTTTAATTTTTTTTTAATTACAGTAGTCCCTCCCTCGCTACTTCGCAGTTCGTTTATTGCGGTTTTTCAAAATAAGATTGGACATGACACACAATTGGCTGATTGATGGATGAGCCGCATGATCGGCATGACATTTTATTTAAAATGAATTATTTAAAATTATTTAGCACCTGCTGCACATTTGTGCAGCCCATACTGCAGGATAAACGTCCTGCTGCAGCTGATCAGCTGTTCTCTGTGCAGCACGGAGAAGTGGGCGTGGCCAAGAGCACTTGCAGGTGGCAACGAGGCAGGGAGCTGAAATCATGACATTCTGTTCTCTTAGAGTTTAGAAACATTGTTTAGAATATTGCAAGAGTGTGGGAAGGGTTTAAAACGTCTTATATATGCACTATATTGCCAAAAGAATTTGTTCACCCATCCAAATGATCAGAATCAGGTGTTCCAATCACTTCCATGGCCACAGGTGTGTAAAATGAAGCACCTAGGCATACAGACTGTTTTTACAAATGTTTATGAAAGAATGGGTCGCTCTCTGGAGCTCAGTGAATTCCAATGTGGAACTGATAGGACGCCACCTGTGCAACAAATCCAGTCGTGAAATTTCCTCTCTCCTAAATATTCCACAGTCAACTGTCGGCTGTATTATAAGAAAATGGAAGTGTTTGGGAATGACAGCAACTCAGCCACGAAGTGTTAGGCCACGTAAACAGACGGAGCGGGGTCAGCGGATGCTGAAGCGCATAGTACGAAGAGGTTGCCAACTTTCTGCAGAGTCAATCACCAGACTTCATGTGGCTTTCAGATTAGCTCAAGAACAGTGTGCAGAGCTTCATGGAATGGGTTTCCATGGTCGAGCAGCTGCAGCCAAGCCATACATCATATATATATATATATATATATATATATATATATATATATATATATACAGACAGACAGACAGACAGACAGACCCTTTCCAAAAAATTAGAATATCATGAAAAAGTTGTTTAACTTCCATAATTCCATTCAAAAAGTTAATCTTTAATAGATGATAGATTCAGGGCCCACAATTTAAATGATTTCTTTGTTTGTTTATTTTTACATAATTTGATCTTCCGGCTCACAAAATCCATGAAAACAGGATTTAAAAAAATTAGAATACTGTGGAGAAATCAGGCCACATGTTGCAGAGCATGAATGTTTTAAACTGAGTGTGACACTAATCATCTACTAAACTCAAAGCACCTGCACAGGTTTCCCCAGGTGTCATTAAATTCCTTCAGTTTGGTTCAATTGTCTCAGTTCTGTTCAATATGGGGAAGACTGCAGACATAACAACTGCCCAGAAGACCATCATTGATTCCCTCCATAGGATGGGTAAGACAACAGTTCATAGCTAAGGAGGCTGGCTGTTCACAGAGTGCTGTGTCCAAGCACATCGATGGAAAGTCTAGTGGAAGGGCAAAATATGGCAGGAGAAGCTGCACCAACAAAAGAGATGACCGTGGGCTTCAGCAGATTATCAAACAGAGAAGATTCCAGAATCTGGCAGAGATCCAGAAAGAGTGGAATGAGTCGGAGTCACAGCTTCAAAAACCACCACATTCAGACACATCTGGGAGATGGATACAACTGTCTGGGTTCCTCGGTCCTCTTTTCCAATGAAAGTAAAATGTGGCTTTAATGTGGAAATCAAGGTCCAAGGGTTTGGAGGAAAAAGGGTGAGGAACAGAGCCCATACTGGTTGAGGTCCAGTGTGAAATATCCACAGTCAGTTATGATTTGGGGTGCAATGTCCGGTGCAGGTGTTGGTAAACTCTGCTTCCTCCCAGTCAATGTCACAGACTGATTCCCTCAATGCCATGTCACATCGAGGCAGTGATTAAGGCAAAGGGATTTTCAACCAAGTACTGAAGATTGACATATTGTTGTGAAAATACCATATTTTGATTGATTTTGTTGTGATCCTACTTTATTTCTTTTTTTTTCTTCAAAAACTGAGAAGTGTGGGCTGATTTCTCCACAATATTCTAATTTTTTGAAATCCTGTTTTCGTGGGTTTCATGAGCTGGAAGCCTAAATTATGTAAAAATAAACAAATAAATAATTGAAATCATTTAAATTGTGGGCCCTGAATATCATCTATTAAAGATTAACTTTTTGAATGGAATTATGGAAGTTAAACAACTTTTCCATGATATTCTAATTTTTTGGAAAAGGTGTGTGTGTGTGTGTTATATATATCTTATTATTTATTTATTTTAAATAACCAATTCATGCTGTTTGGATTGTTTATTTAAAATGTTACAGTATTTAAATTGTTTATTTAAGGAGGTAGATTGGGAGTAACATGAGTGATTACAGTCTGGCACAGGTCATGACAAAGTTTACTGAACTTGGACTACTGTGTCTTTACTTTGTGGTTTTCCACTTATCGTGGGTGGGCGTGGTCCCAAACACCCACGATAAATGAGGGACTACTGTATTTATATTTATAACTGTTGGTTAATTCACCTGAATCTGATACGTTTTACCTTTGACTGTAAATAGGAACACAGTTTTACCAAATGATCGAGGAGGTATTTTAATGAATGTTTGCAGAATGTTTTGGTATCAAACTTTAATAAATCAACAGGAAGTAACAAAATTAGAGACTGGAAAAGTGTTGAATTTCAAACTAAAATGAAGAAGAAGCCTGGTGTTGTGATTTGAAGTTTGTTTGAATCAATTCAGCATACTTTATACATTGTTCATTACTGTTCTTTAATCAGAAACAAATCTACATCAGCCTGTGGGAGAGAAGTCCAAGCACTATGCAGATTTATTCACAGGACAGTTGTTTTTAATGCAATGGAAGCTGATCCTGTCAACGTTGTTTGGTTCTTCTCCTGCAGATGTTCAACTGCATCACAGAGCTCGTGTTGAAAGCCAAGAAGGAGGTGCTCGCCAAGCAGCAGCAGCAGCAACAGAACGACGTGGTCAAACTTACCCGGAACAGTAAACGAAAGAAAAAGTGCTGCTAGCAAACTCCTGCCCACACGGCCCGGAGGCGTCTTCACACGCGCATACACACCGCACGGTGGGACTCAGAGCATTTAAGTTAAAGAGCAGATAAAGATTTAATAAGTATACCGTGAAAGATAAAAAAAAAATAAGATAAATGGAAAATTGTCCCCTTTGGACAAACTAATCATGAAGACTTTGAACAGATGTACAGATTTTTATTAGATGTCAGATCAAGTTTTATTTGGAGTTGAGCAAATGAGCCCGGCTAACCTGGGGTCGTCCTTGGTCGAAGGATCTGCGAGCAGACAACTGATCGCCACGACGCTCACATTTCTATCGGCATCGTCCCCAGTCTTCTTCCATCAGTGTCTCATCTCCCGTTTACTGCGCACGAGACGCTCCGAGTCGGCTGCACCTGAGGGGGACCACCACTCAGCCTCCCTGGATTAGTTGAAGTGTTTTTGTTTTTTGTCGTTGGACCGTGGCTGATAGATGGAAGGTGTTGCACCTCTCTGCAGTTCAAACATTTCCAGCTCCTGCATTCGCTCGGCTCAGGCCAACACATCATGAACCGCTAGTTCTTATTTAGACTTGTTGGGGAAGAAAGTCACACAGTGATTCATAGAAAACCTTTAGCAACAAATCCAATGGACACAACTTGTGATTTTTGTGTATTTTTTTCTGTATTTTGCCAAGCTTCCCACCCACCCCCTCCCTCCTAACACCCCGTAGTGGTGAGCCAGTAATAGTTGGTTTGTTCTCAGTGTGGCGGAGCAGTCGAACCACTCCTGAAGCTCGGACTGCACTCTTCATCTCCGTCTTGGTATTCTTTGCTTTGAAACCTTTTTCTTCCACAAACTGATACTGCCAATATTAAATCTCTATACGAGCCTCTCACTGGACTGTTGCCATAGTGGCCAGTGGCTGGCCAATACGCAGGGTGAATCAGTGTCTGATGAGACCCTACTGAGACCTCAGGAAGTGCTCCCTCACCCCGCAGTCTTCTCTTCCCTCAGCACCTCTCACAGCGATGGACTCACCCTCTGCAAGCAAAGAGCTCAAACTCTAGAAACTTGCGTCTGACGTCATCGTTGTGACCTCCAGGCCAGAGGAGACGGCTTTAGCTTCAGCATGTAACTTTGTTTGACTTGGTGTGTTTCAGGTCAGAACTGTCATCTTGCAGAATTATCCCTAATAACAGCTGACTAATGTTTTAAGTCTTGCGTCATGTATTTGTCATGTTTCTATCACCCCCCCCCCACCCCAAACTGAAGTGTTAATAGTGTTTTTGATGTCCACAGTGAGGCTGTGGGACTGTTAATGTGAGAACAAATGGGAACGAACTGCAGCACTGGATCCCCGTGAGTTCGGACCTGAGCTGCTGTCGCCTTGGCGCGGGGTTAGTCCGGGAGGCCGAAGCAGCACACTGTGTCTATAACTGACCCCTTTATTTTGATTTGGGAGAGTCGTACGTGGAGACGGATGGAGGAAACCGTTTTATCCTCTGGGCAGGCTTTGGCTGATGGTTTGGGATCCTGATGCATGTCGAGAGGCCTAGAAATCAAATGAAATCTCACATTTATTTTCATTATATATATATATATAAATATATAGATGTGTGTGTTTATATTCAGTATGAAAACATACACACATAATGACACACCGAACTGCGTGTTACACATGCCTGGTGTGCTATGGTTTAAACACACTCGTCAGCTGTGGTTTGCTGTACACTGGAGAAGAAAACAAACAAATGTGCTATTTAGTTTTCCCTACATGAATTTAATCCGTAATAAACATTTTAAAGGAATAAACATTTGACATGATGGCTGATCTTGCTTGTCTGTAGGTAAGACTTGGTCCCAAGTTCATTTCACGCCTGTGTCTTGTATTATTTTTGGCTTTTCTGTGAATAAAATTGTATGGAAGGAAGAGTGAACTAATCTTTGGGAAACCTGGCTACAGACGTAGGAAAATAAAATCCTTAAGCACATTTACTGCTTTGATAATAGTTTAATCTGTGATTCAACACTGGACACGTTCTACACAAATATATGGAAAAGTTAGTATATTAAAGATCTACGTCATGTTTATAAATGGGGAGAACCAGTCTGTTTTTACCCATCGTTTCTAAATCTTAACAGGGTTTGTTCTGTCTCCTTGCTGTTCTAAGTCTGATTAAAGTCAGAAGTGCCAAACTCAAAGGGGGAGGGGACACAAATGATACATTTGGTCCTAGCCCATAGCCAATTCTAGTCATAGTTTATTGAACAAATAATGTAAACTTTTTCACATTCATTTAATTTGTATCGTCATATTATACCAAAATATAAATTATCTTGTTCCAAAGACGTATACAGGACTTGACCTAACATATCGTAGTCATCAAAGAAAAAAAAAATCAACTTTTAAAATGTCCCATTTATTTATTTATTTGAATAAATAAATATATTTGTATTTATTTATTCGCTTAGAATGTGATCAAATGTATTTCTATCAATTCTGTAATACAGGTCAAACATAGTCAGCTACAAACATACTTTAATGAAAGAACGCATAATAAAAATAATAAAGCCGTTTAGATGCACATGAGTGAGATAAGTCCTGACATTTTTACTTGACTTTCTTCTACAATTTGATTATCCCGGTTTGGGTGTTCTTTATGCCTTTTTATTTTATTTATTTATTCCCAAATCAAAGATTACAGAAAATTAAAATGACTGGCTTCAAATTTTCCCTTAACACTGAAAAATTCATGGAGTCCTCGAGGCTCAATGGGATTTACCTGTCTAAAGGTTGAATGAATGCTGTGCCAGTAGGTGGCAAGAACATCCACATGAATGAAATACTCTACCAACATGCAGAGAGAAACTACTTTTGGCTTTGCTGAACATTTTTCAAAAACAGTTGTAGCTAGTCTTTTTCTATGGCACTGTTTACAATTCACACTCTGTTATTAATTTCTGTTAATACAAGATTAAAGTCCCGCCCCTTCCATGTGCACGAATGGAACACTGACCTTGATGAAATTAAAAATAAAAACATTAGATTCAAATACACCCTAGACAGTTTAGATGTTTTTATTGCTATATACAGGTGGGGGTCATCAAATTAGAACATGAAAAAGTTCATTTATTTCAGTAATTCCATTCAAAAAGTGAAACTTGTATATTATATTTATTCATTACACTCAAACTGATATATTTCAAATGTTTATTTCTTTTAATGATGATTATTACTGACAACTAATGAAAACCTCAAATTCAATATCTCAGAAAATTAGAATATTGTGAAAATGTTCAATATTGAAGACACCTGGTTTAACTCAAAACACCTGCAAAGTCCTTTAATGGTCTCTCAGTCTAGTTCTGTTGGCTACACAATCATGGGGAAGACTGCTGAACTGACAGGGCGGCTGTGGCTGAGTGGTTAGAGCAGTCGTCCTCCAATGCAAGAGTTGGGGGTTCTAATCCACCAGCAGTCACATGCCAAAGTGTCCCTGGGCAAGACACTGAACCCCTCATTGCCTCTGATGTGTGTCCCATCAGTGTATGAATGTAATCTAAAGCACTGATTAGTCTCAGAATGATTTGTTCAGTTAGCTTTGTAGAGATGTAGAGTGCTGTATGAATGGGTAAATGAGGCACAGATTGTAGTGTAAAGCGCTTTGAGTATCTTGATCAGATAGAAAGGCGCTATATAAGTACAGTCCATTTACCATTCCATTTACAGTTGTCCAACAGACGACCATTAACACCTTGCACAAGGAGGACAAGACACAAAAGGTCACTGCTAAAGAGGCTGGCTGTTCACAGAGCTCTGTGTCCAAGAACATTAATAAAGAGGCGAAGGGAAAGAAATGAAGTTGTTGAAAAAGTGAACAAGCAATGGGGATAACTGCACCCTGGAGAGGATTGTGAAATAAAAACCCATTCCAAAATTTGGGGAAGATTCACAAGAGTGGACTGCAGATGGAGTCAGTGCTTGAAGAACCACCACACACAGACATATGCAAGACATGGGTTTCATCTGTCTCATTCCTTGTGTCAAGCCACTCTTGAACAAGAGACAGCGTCAGAAGCGTCTCGCCTGTGACTGCTGCTGAGTGGTCCAAAGTTCTGTTCTCTGATGAAATCAAAGTCCCAGAGTCTGGAGAAAGAGAGGAGAGACACAGAATCCACGTCGCTTGAGGTCTAGTGTCAAGTTTGGACAGTGAGTAATGGTTTGGGGGACCGTGTCATCTGCTGGTGTTGATCCACTGTGTTTTCTGAGGTCCAAAGTCAACACAGCTGTCTACCAGGAAGTTTTAGAGCACTTCCTGCTGCTGACCAACTTTATGGAGATGCAGATTTCATGTTCCAACAGGACTTGGCACCTGCACACAGTGCCAAAGTTACCAGTACCTGGTTTAAGGACCATGGTATCCCTGTTCTTAATTGGCCACCAAACTCACCTGACCTTAACCCCATAGAAAATCTATGAGGTATTGTGAAGAGGAAGATGTGATACACCAGACCCAACAATTCAGAAGAGCTTAAGGCCACTATCAGAGCAACCTGGGCTCTCAGAACACCTGAGCAGTGCCACAGACTGATCGACTTCATGCCACGCCACTTTGCTGCAGTAATCTAGGCAAGAGGAGCCCCAACTAAGTACTGAGTGATGTACATGCTCATACTTTTCATGTTCATACTTTTCAGTTGTACAACATTTCTAAAAATCCTTTTTTTTTTCTTCCTTTTTAAAAAAATTGGTCTTAAATAATAATCTACTTTTCTGAGATACTGAATTTGGCGTTTTCATTAGTTGTCAGTTATAATCATCAACATTAAATAAAATAAACACTTGAAATATATCTGTCTTTGTGTAATGAATGAATATAATGTACAAGCTTCACTTTTTGAATGGAATTATTGAAACAATTCAACTTTTTCGTGATATTCTAATTTTATGACAATTATCTGTAGTGCCTATAAAAAGTATTCCTTTGGATGCTGTACCCATATATTACTGTCTAAAATCAGTCATGGTCAAAATAAATGGGACTTTCTGACAAAACAAGTCCCCTTGAAGCGATTGTCCTCATTCAAAAGAGCCGTTTGGTGTTAGCCTCACAGTTGGTAGCAGTGAATGTGTCAGATGACTGCAGTCTAAGAACACCTGTGTCTGGAATGTCATTCTTTGATTAATCAACATTACACCATGAAGACAAGAATACTCCAAACAACTCAGAAAGATTTCTGAAGAATATCAAGGGATGAACTCAACTGGATTTTTAAGGCCCTAATCATCCCCAGGAGTTCTGTTATATCCATCATTAAGAATGGAAGGAATATGGGATGTGTGTAAATGTACGAAGGCCATCCTCACAAACAGTGAAAGTGCAAGATGGAATACTGTAGAGGGAAAAGCCACTGAGTGACCACTGTGAAGAAGTTACAAACTTCAGCAGGTGACCTGGAAGAAACTGAGCATACAGCTGTTGCCCTGGTTCTTCACCAGTCTGAGCTTTCTGGGAGAGGTAAAAAGAAAGACGCAGTTGAAGAAAACGTTGGTTACGTACTGTAACCCAAGATTCTATGAGTATAGGCGCAGCCCTTTAAGGCTATCGCTAGTGGGGGTTTATCCCTTCGCGCGCAGCACTGAAATCTTTAGTCCACGCTCACCTACTGTGTGGGCCTCACCCCCGGTCCGTATAAATTACGGTGAGACTGGGTAATCGGCTCCCAAATAGATTTTTTCTTCAGCATTTAGGAACCAGTGAGGCCCAGAGCTTAAAGGGCTGTGCCCATACTCATAGAATCTGGGGTTACAGTACGTAACCAGCGTTCTATTTCATATAGGCTTCGCCCTTTAAGACTATCGCTAGTGGGTTAAAGGCGAAGCAGGATGTAGTCTATGCCTCACTGGGTCCACTCAGATACAACATGAAGCACCTGCTTGTACAAAAAAACATTTCATCACTCAGCCTTCTGTGTGCGTAATTGCGTACTTCATGCGCAGGAGCGCACCGGAGAAAAGATCTCTGGTGAGGAAAAGTGGCTAAGATAGCAGACCTGCTGCTGGGAATAGGAACAACAGAGGATACGAATTGTAACAGTGTAACAATGAAGAGAGCAGACCAACAGCTCCTCAGGATGAACCGATTAATAACGATAAAATCAGCAGTAATGAACTTGTGACTGATAATAAATATCATAATCTCACACTGCGACTGCATGCAGGCAGGTGTGAGCTCAAAAGTGAGGCTCCATGAAACAAATAATCATTCTGTCAGAACCCTGAGAACAGAATGGGTCATGGAGAAAGTAGAAACATCACGTTGATAAAAACAAATAATTGAACATGGCGATGACCAGGCAGCTGCCATACAAATATCCTCCATTGTCATCCCTCTATGCAGAGCCATGGAGGATGAAAACCCTCTGGTGGAATGTGCTGAGATTCTCTGGAGGATCCAGTCCAGATGAACTGTAAACTTCAGAAATAGCCTCACACAACCAGTGTGAGAGGCGCTGGGTGGATAGAGGACGTCCTGAAGAGCTGTCCCTGTAATGCACGAACAGACACTGAGAACGGTGCAGTGCGGCCGTGTGCGCCACGTAACACTAAAACGCGTGCAGGGGACAGAGGAGGTGAGATGTTGCCTCCTCTTCAGACTTGTGAGGAGGAGGGTAAAGCCCATCCAAGGTTATCACTCTCGATCTGAATGAGCTTGTGATACTTTTCAGAGCAGGATTAAAACGCAGTACAGCTGAACTGCCGTCAGCTTGAATTCTGAGACATGATGGAGCAAAAGAGAGAGCATCTAAAAAAGTTAAATCTGGTCCTCTGGACATTCAAAAAACAAAACAAAGCAAAACAACAAAAAATGTAGAAACGTTTCGTCTTCCATCCGAAAGACTTCCTCGGTCTGAGGTGCTGTATTCAGCTCAGTCTCTTAAATAGCACCTTCTCAGAGTGGATCAACCAGTTTTGCTGCTGACAACCAAAACCAGCTGCTCACATGGTCAAGAAGGACCATCAGCCTAACAATGGATCATTAGCACACTGATGGCTGTTTGCTATTCACAGAGGGCTGAGTGATACTAGCAATCACAGCATTGTAAGAGGGGGACAATTGAACACGTAGGCCTCCACCCCTGTTTAATGATGGACGATTTCTTTTCACAAAGATGGCCTCCTTTACCCCTCTCTCA